GTTGTTAAGGCTGCTGAAGAACTTATTCTTTACTTTCCAGGTCGTCTAGAATTTTATTTCTCTTAGTAGCAAAAGATTTTTTATTGAATATCTCTGCTGCATATTTTCCACATTCTCTAAGATTAGATGTGTCATTTTTTCTTTACCTTCATTTAACCAGCATTCTTGGTTATTTTACTCGATACAGAAGGCCTGTATTATCCAAATGACCCTTGGAAAACAGTCTGCTGATGGCCATTGCCCACTGCTAAATTTCTATGTGGGACATGTCACATTGAAATACTTGATCCGTGTCAGCATGAGGGAACTGATGATATAAACTTGTTTACCTATTTTAACCATATCCACATCTAGCAGCTGCACCTTCACCTTTACCTCAGTCATAGGGTGAAGTGCCCAACCTGGGCATCCTCCTGGCGAGAGAAGGTAACTAATGGATGGGCAGAACCTATGCCCCTGGGGAAGTGTTCACTGTTCTTCTTTAGTGGCACGTGCCAATTTCTCATTAGTTGTTAGGGAAATAGGATCTGGTAATAATTTGTTGAATGGCTAATACGAGCTGAGAGCACTTCCTTCTTCACAGCCCCATGACTGGAAGTTTGAATGTGAACACAGGAAAGAAGGAAACTCATCTCTTTCATTTGGTGCCCTCATTGATGGAAAAAATAATTGAAACTGACTATTAATATCACAGCACCAGATAGCAATATCAAAAGGCTCCTGAGGAGACTGGGAAATCAATTCTACACAAGATTATGGAACACACATGGAAAAAATTCCACCAGTGTCTTCATTGAACTAGGCAGGCTAGTGCCTTAAATTATTCTGGAACCCATAAGTTCACAGCTGACTTATAATCATTTCCCTTCATGTGATTTGAACTGTGAGTCATCTGTTCCACTGAAATTGTGGACACACTGGTGTATTTTTAACTTACGATGAGCCACTCTTTTAGAATAAAACAGAACAGAAATGCAATATGCAATTGTCTAAGAGGAAATAGTGTGCAAGGTCTTGAGTGGAGATCTATGTGCTGGATCTTGCAGGAGGTGATGAAGGTCTCCAGGGATGCGTCTCTCAGTACATATTCCCCAGAGCCGCCTTCCGAATGCAAGAGCAGAAGAAACACAATTTCCCAGAATGAATCATTCCCCTGGGCTCCTGTGCCCTTGGTTTCTGTGTCTGCTCCTCTTCTGGCCCCTGTCTTCCAAACCAAGCACTGGTGTCTAAATAATAGTAGTATCTGCATACATATCTGTTGACTATATTCACTCATTCATTCCATCCTTTATTTTGAAGATATTTATTAAACACCTTTTATGTCCAAAAGGCTGTGATAGGCACTGGGATTCAGCAGAGAACAAAACAGATAATTCCTTCCTAAAAAGAGCATAAGTGTGTGTGTATATGTGTGTGTGTTTGAGGGTGGAGTAAGTCTCACTATACATTCATCATTACACAAATAATTCCAGCTACAAGATTTATGTGTGCTCTGAAGGACTAGGGAGTCCTGACCAAACTCTATTAATTAACTAGCAATATGGCACTGGCGAAATTACTTAACCCTCTGAGTCTGTTTTCTCATTTGTAAAATAAATTTGTTTCAGCTGATGTGTAACATCTCTTTTTACACCTGAGTTTTATGATTCTGTGCTTGCTTTGTGAAAAACTGTTTTGTACAAAGAGCATCTGATTAAAAGCATTCCTTAAATAAAAATACTAGTAACAATGATCAGAAGGCAGTCATTTTATAAATTTTCAAACTTTCAGTGATCGTAATGGAAACCACCCCGTGAAGGGAAATGAAGGAAATCTGTTAAACACACAGTTATATTAAAAATTGAAGAAAAATGAATAAAATGTCTTGAATCTTAAATGACTTGGCATCATTTTGGATGACTAACAGGACAGTGTGAAGTATTACGGGAGCGCTTTTCCAGCTCCAGGTGACAAATTGTGCAATGTTATAAGAGATAAGAGAATAAAATTGAGACTAAAATTACTAAATTTTCTAGTACGGAGTTTTTAAAAGGCCCTGTTCTTGGTAAGAGACTTCTGGTTTATTACCAGGTGAAAGAGGCCAAACTGAACTGATAGTCTTTACCAGTGGGTAGAGTTTTAAGGACTATCTCCTCTCTCATGGAAGAAGGAAGGAAACACTCAAATGCCTCCCTTCCTTGAAGCTGAAAGAAGGGAGCCCAAGAGATCCCCTCCTAAAGTTTGTGGAGGAGCTGGCAGAAGAACCATCTAACATCTCAATCCTGGTGGTTGCCTGCTGACTGAGGGCTTGCTGTTCTGCCCTGGGGCTATTGGAGTGAGGGAGAGATAGCTGGCAAGGGATGATATCACTGCAATAAGCCAGGTGATCTGGGAGAAGAAGTTTCCCTCTAAGCTTACTACTTCCAAGAGATACAGCAGAGAGTCCATGAGATGAGAGGGAGCACAGGCTTGTTGGGGATTGCTGCAGCATGAGGCAAAGGAGCCTTGCATGCTTTATTAACACAATGTAGTCTCATGCTAATAAGTATTTTCCAATATAGCAGGCCCAGTCTCACAAAGTACCACCAGTGACCATGGAGAGTTTTAGGGATCTGAGTCTGTTGAGTCCCCCATTCATCCCATACTGAGACAGTAGGTCAGAAGCCGGATCAATGGTGAAAATCACAGAAAGGGGACAACTCTGCCACCACCCCGGTGGAAGGATTCATAAAAGAAAACAGTGGTTACATCCAGGGAAGATTGCATCAGTCAAACAACCCTGAGTGGGCTAGGAAGAATACATTCGTCCCTTTCCCTTGCCTGAGATGAGGCAGTTAGATAAGGAGACTGATCCCTGACTAAGCCAATAGATTCCAGATCATGAATTGTATGAGCTTCAGATTTTCGGTTCTAGTAGCTCTAGGTCAGGCAACAGCTAAATAAAGGACATCATCCAGCAGACCTTAGAAAGCAGAGGACCTGGTGCCTGAAAACTCCAAGTCTTTTCTGTTACCTCCTCACCAGGCCACATCCTGCCCTCATCACATGATGTCAATTTCAGGAAGGGAGGCAGGGGAAGGCCCTCTAAGAGCTGATACATGTTTAAGACAGTGGATGAGGGGTTCAGGGGAAGTCTAGAATAGTCATAAAGTATGTATATTGACACTATACCTAGGTTTTCAAGTCTGGATTTTGAACTCCCTACACACTTACTGAGTAAACAAATTGGATCACAAAATGTCTGAATAGTTATGTTCTTTTAAGAGCAATGTTTTGTAGAAGTAGTGTGATGCAGAAAAACCATCTATTTTGATATGAAGTAGAGCAGCTTCATGTCTCAGCTCTGCCACCTATTAGGTGTGTGGTCTTGGGCACATTGCTTAATCTATCTGCCTCAATTTCTTTATTTTAGAAAAGATAAAATAATAGCTACCCTATTGGATTGTATAATTAGAAATAACAGGCATAGAGTTCAAATACACACACAAATAATGGTAAACATTGGGAATTACTATTAGTATAATTACTATATGCTGTGGCTGTGTTACTTTTTCTTTTTCTTTTTTCCCCCACCTTTCCCACAAGTCTTACTTTTCCCATAATGGGGAAGTCAGAGTTTCTTGCCACTGCTTACTATTTGCTTTATATGAATAAGGTTTGATGAATCTCTTAGCCTCACCAATTTTCTTACTATATATTGTAGACAGCCTGCACTTGCCAAGAACCACACTGAGGTTAAAGTCTGTTTGTTATTGGTATTACTTTGTAGAGTCTTTAAGCTAAAATATGCTTTCTCAATGAATCATAGGAAAATAAATAAAATGTGAAAATAAATTTTAGACATCAGTGAAACTCTTGAGACTTGTTTTTTAGACTGTGGAAATGGAGAGATGAGAATTTTTTATTTAATACTTGAAAGGTTGCCAGTTAGCTTATTTTTGGCTCCAGTTCTCCTTCTCCAAACTAGTAGGAGTATTTTGTCCTGAAACATCAAAAAATTACTTTGATTCCTTTTAAAGAGCTAAATAGGTACATGTCTAGATGGAAAAAAGTATGGAGAAAACAGACAATTTGTGAAAAGAATGTACTCCTAAAATAGTATAACTTACCAATTCTATAATCATATAAATAGCAAAGGATACTGAGATTTTGTTTCTGGTAATTTATTTTTTCTATTTATCCATAGCATTTCTCCACACCAAAAAGATGTTTACTAACATCATTAAATAAAAAACAACAAAAACGTCATTAAAGCTTCCTAATTCAGAATGATATAATGTATGCAAACATAACCCACACCATTGATATGAAAATACAGAAGTTGTAATGCAGCCAGATGTTTCCTATACCTAGATATCTATTATTGTTTAAACAAAAATGTTTCTTTCTGAATTTTCTTAGTTCATATCTGATCTGCTAATCAAGTATACTCACAATTTCAATACTGCCCCGACGTTTCTGCTGCCTGTGCTTACAATGACTGTCTTCCATGATACAACTATATATAGCAGTCGTACTCCTGGATGTTCTGAGACAACCTGCAAATTCAAATATTCTGTCTTCAGTCCCTCATCCCCACTACCAGCACAGGTACAATTTCAGTGTAATATGACTGTGCATTACTTATGGCATAAAGTTCAAACTCTTAAGCAAATAGATATTATCCATGTCCATCTCTTCCCTATCTCTCTTCATTCTACTCCATTCTTTATTCTGCTTGAATTAGCCACATGTAAACACCCTCTCCTCGGTCCTCATACCACCACTCTTAACCAGACTTTAACACTCTCTCTCAACACACACACACACACACACACACACACACACACACACGAAGAGAGAGAGAGAGCTCTTTCATGGCTTATTGCTTTTGCTTATGCACCTGGAATTTTGGAATCATCCATCTAAGATTCAGCTTAAGCATTTTAATTTTCTCTATCAGGAGGTCTTCCAAGAACTCCCTAGACTGACTTCTTACAAAGAAACCCTATATAAACCTGAGATACTTACCACATTTTATGAAAATTATCTGTTCGTGGGGAGTTGGGGAGAGATAGCATGGGGAGAAATGCCAGATATAGGTGAAGGGGAGGAAGGCAGCAAATCACACTGCCATGTGTGTACCTATGCAACTATCTTGCATGTTCTTCACATGTACCCCAAAACCTAAAACGCAATTTAAAAAAAATTGTTCGTCTCCTCCATTAAACTGCAAACATCTCCAGTGCAGAAATGGCATCCTTCCATTATGGGTCTTCAGGGTTTTGCCAGTGCTTTATAGAGAATTCATGGAATTAAGTGGTCCTAAGCAAGAATAGCAAAGATCCTGCTGCTATTAGTTCTTGCTGCATCCCTATGACCCAATTTACTTCTAGGCCACTCGCTGGTTACTGCTTCTTAGTTTTTCAGTAGAACGCTACAGCTATGATACACCTTGTGAAGGAGGTTCACTGTGCACTGGTGTCAATCCCAGGAGAGAATCCAAAAAATCTCATCCACTGCACCTTGAGCTGTGCCCATTTCTATTACTTGCCCGAGTCCAGTGAAATCAAACACTTGCCCACAAAGAGTTGTTACATGAAGGACATTTATTCCTCACAGATAAGTGGTGTTAGAAATGCTGTTGTAGTTCACCACTGCAGGACAAGAGGGTCTCTGTGATCTGTGACAGAATGAGGTTCAGGATGGTTGATCCAATACTTCATTAGGTTACATGCAGTGGTCGCAGCTTGGCAGAGCCTAATGAAAGCATTATGCTCCAGTTCTCTGTTCTTACATCCTTATGGGAAGAGCAGATTGACTGTTAGTGCCCCTACTCCCTTCCCCTCCCAGAGCCACAGGTGTTCCCTACCTATAGGACAGAGGTTGGGCTGAGTTGGTGTGACCCCATCTGTCTGTCACTGTCCTAAGGCTACTACCTCTGCAGACATCCATTGCCCTTGTTGCTTGACCCAAACCTTTCAACCCTAGTCATCCAGACCAGGAAAAGAGGTTATTTCCAGTACAAACTTGACATGTCTCATGTCATCTACTCCAGTGGAAAGAATAGGTGTCCCTGATGTTACTAGAGGAACCCTAACACACTGGTACTCCTTGGTCCTATCCTCCACCCCTGTGAAATCTCATAAAAGAGAGACACCCAGGGGAAGCATCACTTCCAGGTTAGAGTCAGGGATCCTTGTCTGTGGTACTGCTCCAATCCAAACTGCAAACCACCCCCAGGATGTGAACTGTAAAGGGAAAAAAGGAAAAAAAAATTAATTAGGAACACTGAGTTTGGATTTTGCAAGTGCAGTCTACTCAGGCAGCTGCCCAGCCCACCTTCATTCCTACCAAGCTCAGTATTTCCTAGCATGCCTTGCAGTGCTGTGTTTCTCTTGCAGTGAGTGCAGTGTTTAGTGTCCATACTGCCCTTGTCAGATGGGGCTACCACATCATTAGCCAGCCATATTGATGTCCTGGCTTCAATTTCTGTGTGTTGATTGGTCCACCATTCAGTGATTCCACTGGTCTGTGGATGACAGAGTATGTGGAGAGTTCATCTTATTCAGTAAGAGTGTATCCATTGTTGTGTATATCCATTGTTGAGCAGTAAATGAGATTCCTTGTTCGGAATTAAGTTTTATGGGGTAACCCAAATCATGATATAAGTTCCTCTCAGAGGTAGCTATAATAGTCTACACAATGTCTACACAAGTCACACATATTTGTCCCTTCCAGGCAGCAAAGTATTGCGATAGTCCTTGTCTGTGTGGAGACACAGTGGATCTTTTAGTAGTCCAGTCACTCAGTTGCCATTCTTCTAACCAGATATCTTGGTTTTTGGGCACAGCTCATGAGTCAATGAAAATGTAGCATGATATGGTGGCAATGGTGGACTTCATGGCCATCACCTCTGAATGAAGTTTGGCACATTGGGTGGAACATTCATATCCAGTCTGTCAAAAGACAGCAATTGGCTGGGTGCGGTGGCTTGCGTCTATAATCCTAGCATTATGCAAGGCTGAGGCAGGCAGATTGCCTGAGCTCGGGGGTTTGAGAGCAGCCTGGGCAACACGGTGAAACCCTGTCTCTACTAAAATACAAAAAATTAGCCAGGCATGGCGGTGTGTGCCTGTAGTCCTAGTTACTCAGGAGGCTGAGGCAGGAGAACTGCTTGAACACAGAAGGTGGGCCTAGATCATGTGCCACTGCACTCCAGCCTAGGTGACAGAGTGAGACTTCGTCTCCACCTGCCCCCCTCATAAAAAAAAAAAAAAAAAGGCCATACACTGGCCAGGTGGTGGCTGCAGCCCAGTGGAACCCATCTGCTCGTTTCTCACAGCCACCAATAAACCATGTCTTATTGTATAGGTATACACGTCTTGAATCTAGGGTTCCAGATATCTGTAGAAGGAGCCAAATCATTCCCTATGGGTTACTTGGTCCCTTATAATAAGCTAGCCATTTGTTCATAGAGCTGAGTAGTCCCTTTGTGTCCTATCTAAGTTCCACCTTAAATTTCTCATTCTTATTTGATGATTGAGGGCTGTGAAACCTGTCCAACTTCATTGGTTGGGTTTGTGAGGCTCATGAGAGATGGGTAGTTCAGGTCACAATATCCCATGTAGCTCACCACCTGTAAGATGTTCAGTCACCATCAGTGCCAATAGCAAGCAAGGAGTCACCATTCTAAAGGGGATATATCTGCCTCAGGCAATGTATTAATCCAAACTTGAAAAGTTGGCACAACCTGGTGGCAGTTTTCTGTTGCACACACTCCAGTCAATACATGTAAAGGTTGAGGAAACCTATAATTTCATCAGGTTAGCAGGCTCTAAAGGTTCCAGTGGTAATGCTTATGTCACAGATTGTTGACAGCTTCTAAGGCTTGATTCTGCAAAGGCCCCATTCAAAGTTGGTGGTTTTTCAGGTTACCTTATCTAAGGGAGGCAAAAGAACACCTAGATGGGGTACATGCTGTCTTTGGTACCCAAAAAGGCCTACCACCTGTTGAGCCTCTTTTTAATTAGTGGGTGCCACTGGAGCTGACAGTTTCCATGTCCCACAGGTATTTTTGACCAGCCAAATTGGACTTATAGATTGTGACAGAGTGGGATGCAACATTCAGTCTGTAGCAAGTCCTGAATCAACAAAGTAATGTCCTTTTTCCTTAGTATGCTGCTTTAGTTGAATTACCCATCGGAGCTTAGGTATCTTAGGTTGCCAAGAGGAGTGGATATATCCTGCTGTTATGGCTCAAATTCCTAGCTGTGAGGGGCATATTCCCTCTATGGTATTCTGTGTCACAAGCAGCCAAAATGTCAATGCCTATAATGCATTCAGAGGTAGAAATCACAGTGACCAGGACCCTGACTGGTCCAAAGAGCCCCACACACAGCAGATAAGTACCATGATGTCATCAGTTTATTTTTTCAACTAAAGTGACCTGGAAATATTGTCATGTAGCTTCCAGTATCCAAGAACCCCTCCAAAGGTCTGAATTCCTCTCTTTTCTTGTTTTATCTTGACAAGGGAATGGGGACACTAGTAGGGACCTAGAGACCTTGGCCTCATCTCCAATTGCGCCATTCAGCTCGAGACATTGAATCTTCACTCTTGGTCCACTTTATTGGACCAACACACCAGCCAGCCTGCCTGAGATGTCTGTGGTTTTACTACATATCTGTTCTTTAGATCATGAGTCTCCCTTTCTGTGAAGACTTGCATTGTGAGCACTGGTTCTCACTCAGGTGCCTGAGGGACCATCTGAGTACCCACTTCCTGAGCTCTTGGGCTCCAGGAATGGGTAATCACATAGGTGCCCAACAACCAGAGGGTGATGAGACTTGCTCCCCTGTCTCCACATTTTTTTTGTCTCTGCCTCAATCAATGTAGGAAGCCCCGTGCGGCGGGGGGGGGGCGCGGTGAACTACATCCCACTCATCACCTTTTCTTCTCCATGGATCATTCAGCTTCATGTACAGCCCCTGTTGCCCCATGTTGGTGTCTCTGCTCCAGGATGGGTATGGGGAGTATTGTCCTTCTTTCTTTGCCCTAGAACCATGATTCTGTTAGATCAGAACCTGCCCTCTGTGCCAATTTCACAAAGCACGTTCACCAAGACAACCATCCTGCACCCCTGTGCAGGTTTTGGGACTTTTTATTACAATTTTTTTGGTAATATGTATGTCATTGTATTTTAACCAATGTGGTATAAAAACTAGCTGGCCAAAATTTTACTTTGAAAAGCGTATCATAAACTAAAGTCCACTTGATTTTTTTTTTATTCTTAGAAAAATCCCTTTTTAATTTTTGGATGAGAAGCAGCAGTCAGGGTAGCTTAGTAGCTAAGAAGGCAGGCTGTAGAGTCTGATGGATGGTATCTAAATCCTGGCTCTGCCTTTTATAGCAAGTCACTTATGCTTTTTGGCAAGTGACTCAGGCTCTTAATGCCTTAATTTCCTCATCTGAACAAAGGGAATAAAATTAGCATGACCATAGAGGGTTGTTGTGAGTATTCAGTGAATTAATATATGCAAAGCTTGAATCGGCGTTCATTAAATGTTAGCTGTTATTATTATTGTGAAGTGGCTTCAGTGAGACCAGAGGACATGCCAACACAGAAAGTACATCTGCAGAATTTTTATAAAGATTAATACAGGATTTTTCTTAATTTAAGCTATTTTCAAAATACACAAATAATAGAACTTTCTTCCCAAATCGAAGAGAACTCTAGGACACGCATGCTGAGAAGCAGAAGTGACCACTAAGTGTGGCTGGGAGGGATCATAATGAGCTTCTCAGCACACCTGCTGTGAGGATTTAACGGGAAAAGCTACCATTGAATGAGAGTTTCACTTTCCCCCCTGTATGTTATTCTAGGGGCAAAGAAAAGTGTGAATCCAGTTGATATAGTATGCCCTGTGTGCTGAGAATCTGCAAAGGTGACAATTCCCAGTAGAGCTGAAGGGGATGCAACAGTGGGGTTTGGTTGCAGGAGAATCATGAGTGCCCCTGCCTCCTTGGAACAGCAGGTGGCCCCTTACTCTATTAGGTCAAAAGAAGAATCCAGCATGTGGTCTAGCATAGGCTAGATGCTAGCCTGACATTCCATGTCACTATGAAGGGTGAATGAAGAAATTCAAGCTAGTACCCCACATCAGTGGCACCAGAGAAAGATTCACTAACATCTCTTGGCTTCTGGAACTTCAGCTAAACTGAATTTAGAATCTTGTTCTTTGTCTCCTGGGATCTCTTCCTCTCCTCTCATACATTCCAGTATCCGTGCACATGAAGTGATTTTTATTGTTGAAATTATATTTTCTGCTGAATGATAGTTATCTTTTGGTCTAGCCAAGTAGGCACTTTGTCCACATTAGATGCTTGATAAATATTTGCTGAATAAAAAATTAACAAATCAAGACATAGGCTTAAGGATTTAAAATTTCATAAGATACAGAAGTGAAAAAAAATTCTACTTTTTCAACTTCTAAGTCAACACTTTATCCCATTGCCAACATGTACCTACTATTAGTAGTGTCTGATTTTTCTTTACATAAAGTATCTATAAATATAGAAGCAATTATGCTTTATTTTATGTAAATAAAATGAGGTTTCTGTCTGTTTGTCTCTGTTTCTATATCATACAAAAGTACCTCGGAGATATTCTATCACATTTGAGAGAAATTCATTTAGGATGGTTTGGTTTAAAATATAGGCTATGTTACAGAGATGAAATTCATTTTGGAGAATCCAATGGGTCATTTCAAAAAAAGTAAGCAGTTGTCCTCTAAAGCAACTGACACTGACGTACAGAAAGTTTGTATTGTACTGCCAACTGGAAGATGTTCCATATGGATTACAAGATCAAGGAGAGAGAAACCAGACTAGAATTTCAGACATGGATGGGAAATTCACGGGGTAGGTACTTCAAACTGCAGTTGCTAATTTCTGAAGAAGCTCTTTCTCAGGTGAGAGTTTTTGCAACATTCCTTAGGAGGAGTAGCAACAAGGATTTATTTATTTAATGTTGGTTCCTAAATTTCTCCAACCACTCTGGGCAGGTTTGCTAATTCTACTTAGACCTTTCCTCCCCCACATTTCTTATTTTGCAGTGTACATAACAAATATATGCATGTCTACTCTGAGCCAGGGACCATCTTAAGTGATAGGGCTATAAAAATCAACAGCACTTGGATTTTGACCTCACAGAGTTCAAGTTGAATTTTTAAAAAATTCCATGAATGGT